GGGGGGGCAAAAGAGTGATAAAACACCAATCCAATTGCCCCCCAAAACAGGGACAAAAAAGTGTCTGTAGCAAGTATGTTAAAAAATGATAAGCTTGGAGTCATGTCTGAAATTGCTCACGGTTAAGGGAATAAGATCCATGAACTTGTGGCAATATTGGCAACTGATAATGTAGATTTAGTCGTTGGTACGGAGACATGGTATAATGAGAAAAATGACTGGGATATAGCAATAACAGGGTATAGATATTTCCTCAATATCCGAGGAAAGGGATTTAGGGGTAATTATTCAGATGACTTAAAGGTAGGCAGACAATGCAATAGAGCAGCAGGAAATGCTAGCGAATGCTTAGTTGCATAGGAAGAGCATAGGTGTGCGCACGGGCGGTGTGCCGGGTGTGCCTGGGCACACCTTAATCCCCGCGGCACGCCTATGGATGGAGACCGGCAGGGGAGATCTCAGGATCTCCCCTATCGGCTCATGCAGAGCCGGTGCTATCCGAGTCCTTACAGTGCAAAATGATGAATATTCAGATATGTATGTTTTAAGGTGTATAGGTGTTCAACTCACACTTTTCTGAGCTGCTAAGAGCTCTGCTGTATAGCACTTGGATGGTATAATCCTAGCTTCAGGATATATGAAGATCTGCTCAGGAGTTTATCTAGTAATGCTCCAACAAAGGAAAAACAGAGATACTCCAATGGTGTAGTAGTTAAATATAAATATAATTAAAGGAAAAAGAGGAATCCTACTTTTAATATTTTGAGCAGTAACGTGCTCTAGTATGTATAGCTTTGGTGTTATGATCTCCACCTGGGATTTAGCGGTCCAAGCGCTATAAAGGAGAGCTCTTAGCAGCTCAGAAAAGTGTGAATTGAACACCAAAATACTCTAATACAGATTTGATATATTGCACTATTATCTGTATATATTGTTCTTTGTTTTAAAGTCCTGTGAGATCTGGAATTGCCAATCTTTGATTTTAAATAAATGTACGCATTTTTCAAAATGTACATTATTTACTCTACAAGGACACATCCCATTTTATTTTTTTTGTTCTGTGTGGCTGTTTTGGCGCGGTAGATCAGTTCTGTCTTTTTCACAATATGACAAGAACAGTTCTTTGTATCTAGCTTATTTTCCTGAAAGCTTCTGAAACAGTCGCTTGCGAAATGTGTTACAAAAAAAAGGTGTAAAAGACGAACTCCAACTGCATGAAACAAAAGATCGACTCAGAGAGACCAGTATCCTCTGCACTGGAAACTAAAAATACTTAAGTAGAAGTCAATATTTCTAAAAAAGAAACTGAAAAGAGTGAGATGAATCATCAAACGGTACATTTCACTCAAAGACAGAGGAAAAAACCCCAGTGTCTGAAAGACTAGTTCTCTGATTTAAAAATAAAGGACTATATGTATTAGCACACATAGATTACAGTTGCAGAGTGCTTGACATACCATAAAGTCACACTAGTCACATAGCTCAGCGCTATGAAGGAGGAAATGGATTTACTAAACATTCATTTTACCACTCTGCCAGAAGGTTCCTTTTGACATATCACTGAGCTTACTGCAGTGGTGTGTTCCTTTGCCCGGCTTCGGGTAGCTGCTCGTCTCGGCCAGGAGGCATGAGTGTTGGCGTGTACCTGGGCGGTGGGTGGTCTGCATTCTGACGCTCCTTTCCGCTGAAGTGCCAGGTCTCTCTTTTGTGGCTTTTGCAATGCCGCCGACCATAAGCCATAGCTATTGAGGGGGGCATAGTGCTCTGGGGCCACTCGTTTACTAGACAGAAAAGCACCTTTTATGTCTTGTATGTGCTTTTTCAATAAAGTTTATTACCCTATATTGTATTTTATCTAGAGGTGCTCCTTGTGAGGCTGGTTGTTCCTCCTATTTTTAGGGGTTAACCATCCTTATTAGTTCTCGGTATTATGACATTCACAGTTAGAATGCCACACAGAACTTGAAAAATAACAAAATATCTTATTTTCTCACACTTTTATTAGATTTTATTTATATATTTTATTTTTGATATACAACTATTTGATGTGAAACTAAAGAAATGTGCTCGGGTACAAAAGGTGAACCAAGTGATCAGTGAAACGATATACCAATATCACTAGGAGTTCTAAGAATATGTAGTGGATTAAACTAGTTCTAATAGGTATAAATGAACTGCTATAAATTAGTAATACACTATTTGAGACAGTTGCACTGAGTTACTTATATTAGTTATACTCATAGATTTATTTGGGTTGCTATAGTGACATTTATCCTTATGTCTCTAGTCTAATGCTGAGCTTGCTCTACAGCTAAACCCTGCTATATTACTAATTTATAGCAGTTCATTTATACCACTCCTTGTGACACTATCTCTGTATACCACTCGAGCCAGACTATTAGAGCTACTTTAACCCCATGTGTGACATGTCATGATTCCCTTTTATTCTAGAAGTTTGGTCTTTAAGGGGTTAATCCACTACATATTCTTAGAACTCCTAGTGATATCGGAATATCTTTAGTTAGTGTCACGGGTTTTGACTGATTTCTTAGTTCACCTTTTGTACCAGAGCACATTTCTTGTAGAGCACATTTCTTGTATTACACGTCTCTTGTTTTCCGTGTCTGTGACAGTTCTATCCCCGCCCTTTTCACGTTCTATTCCACTTACAAGGGTAGTGGTTCTACAGATCACCAGGAAGTCAGGACAGCTCAGCACAGGCTGTAACGAAGGTAGGGGGTGAATGTGAGACAGGGAGAGGGAAGCAGAAATGGAGGGGAATTTGGAGAACAAATAAAGTGTTAAGGAGAAGAATATAGAGAGAGGCAGAAAATGTGGGGGACAATATGGAGACAGAAGATGGGGAAATTATAAAGAGAAAAAGACAGAAAATGGAGGAAGAATAGAAGATAAATAAAGACACGGTGGGTGTGACTGTGGCACAAATCAAGTGGGTGGGGATTACAGAGGGAGGGAAGATGTGGATTAGGAGGAGGAGGGGGGGGCTATAGATAGAATGGCAAAAAAGTGTATGGAAAGAGGCCTATCACTGGGGGAAGGGGGTGTGGAGAGAAATACAAGGGTAGCCAGAGCCCCAGCTTCAAGCTGCAAACAGATTAACCCCTGAATGTAAGACTGTGTGCTGACTCTGCTGTTACCATCACAACTTTAATATACTTAATGACACAAGTTGTCCTTGGGTTGGGAGTGTTTCAAGTAATTAAAAATATATAAAACTTATATAACATTAGAAATAGCGGAATAATTCCTGCGTGCGCTCCCTAATGAAATGCGCGGAGTACACCTATGTATAATATGTATGGGCGCACTTAAACAGCGGGAAATAATGGTAAAATGAACACATTGCAAACGTGCCAAAAATACCTTGGTCACAAACACGTAGCATCTCAAAACAGCCATTAGAATGTGTCATTACATCTTAACTGTAATTGGCTTTAATTGGCTTAGGGTGTAATGACACGTCCTGCAGATTTGGTGTGAGCACAGTTAAAGGGACACTCCAGTGCCAGGAAAACAATCCCTTTAAATCCATACTCCCCAGGATCAGTGGATACCTGGGGCTCCACTCTGACTGCTGGAGCTATTTTTAGTGGCTCAAAACTTTTTGTAGTTAAATTGCGGTGGCAGTTTTGTGGCAGCTCAAATTCGAGTTGACACCAGGGAGCAGAGGAAAGTCCTGAGATTAGACATTGAAGAGTTATGTGGAGAATTTAGGCATTGTGGGAAGTATTGTAGATGGGCAGGGGGCGGTACTGCAGAATGTGATGCTAGGTTATGGGCCTTTTTTGTGTTGTTTGTTAACCCCTTAAGGACACATGACATGTGTGACATGTCATGATTCCCTTTTATTCCAGAAGTTTGGTCCTTTAAAGGATCACTATAGTGTCAGGAAAACATACTCGTTTTCCTGACACTATATAACCCTTAGGAGTCGCACACCCTCAGGGCCCCCCTCCCTTGGCGCTGAAGGGGTTTAAACCTGGGGGACCTGGCACCCAGACCACTTAATTGAGCTGAAGCGGTCTGGGTGACTATAGTGTTCCTTTAATTTCGAAACACTTGCGTGGTTTCAGGATTACAATGTTGGTGGTTACAGATAACCACTCCCTTGTGTACTGTTTTACTTGTCTTTTCTGTAAGGATCCACGGACATTGCACAGCGCTGCAGAATTTGTTGGCTCATTGTAAATAGTAATGGTAATAATAATAATAACAGTTGACTGAGATTTAAGCAGTTGTATTAACACATACTAAATGATATATAGATATATAGTACTTAGTGACAACACTTGTGGCTGATATATGGTGTAAACACCTCAGAGAATGAGAACTATTGGGGGAGATGAAGTAAGGTTTTATTGATATTAATCTGCAGAGTTTGTGATTGGAGTTTAGTTTGACATTGGGGGAGCCCCCAGGCAAGTTTAACAGATATACGTGAATTAGAAATGTGACTCATAGCCCGGCATTTTATACAAAGGACGGCAGTTCATACTGTCTCGGAGGAGATGGCAGTTCATACTGTCTCGGGTTTTATACCAGGCAGTCTGGGCAGGTGATCGTCTATTCAGTTACCTGCTATATGTCCCGGATCTAATTTTCAAATCATAAAAAGAAAACCCACAGAGAAATAACAGGAAAAAATGAAATGGAGCTCTGGTAAAAGTCAGAGACCTGAGTATCATGGCGGCCATTCTAGCAAATGCCAGGGCTGTTATTTTTTGTCCGATTGAACTCTGAGAGTAGGAGAGATACATTCTTGCAGATCTGCGAGATAACCATTGTACAGCGCTACGGAATCTGATGGCGCTATATAAATAATAATAATAATAATATTCTCAGACCATTTGTTTTTCTCCTCCTGTTTCCACCCTCACTCTGTGCACATTGAGGCGTGCTCTGTTCTGCTCTCTGAATGTGCTGTAGCTGCCCACATTCCCATCACTGAAGTGGTTAATAGGCAGAGCAGTAGTTTACAGCTCTGCAGTCAGCAGACTTCACTCCCTCCTCCCCCTCCACAAACTGACACAGAGAGATAAATCTCTAAGTAAAAAGCCAGGTCTCTGTGCATGGAGGGTTTATAGAGGGAGAGGAGAGCTGCTAAATTATGAAGATGGGACAGTTAGGGACATAAATAAATATAAATATTCAGAAACATTTATTTATTATGTACTGTAAGTAGTAGCTAATTAGTAAATCTGTTAACCCCTAAATGAGAAGGGTTGAAAAAAAATGTGCGCCACATTTAAGAGAGCCAGTTGTGACTTAGAGAAAGAGTGGACAGAATTATTAGACTTGTGCATGATCAGACACAGATTCACAGTATGCACAGAGTACTGTACAGACACTTAGACAATGTATACACACAATCACATATTGCTAAACACACACACAAAAACTATACAAACACTACACACTCATTCAGACAGAAACACATTGCCTCTATACCTTATATACACACAATACAATTCTACACCCAGAGCTAGCACTACCATCAGGCGGCACAAGGGGGGGGGGGGGTAAAATGCCTAGGTGACCGGCAGGAGGTGAGCGCATAGTACTCCTTTCCTGCCAGTCGCTTTATGTAGTGTGGCCGAACTTTGCCAGCACCTCTGTCCATCTTAGCCTTCGGCTTTGGTGCATGCCGCAGGCTGTGTGCAGGAGTTAGGGATACGAATCACGTCACAGCCCTGTTGCTTGTTTACCACACAGCCCGGTGGCACTTTAGTGATGGGGATTAAGACTCCACAGAGCCGGACAGCATGCTCCCCGGGCAAATGATTGCATAGGGCTGAGATGTTCGTAATAATTGTGACTCCATGTATGACTGTATGCCTGATTCTGACTGTCTGTGTATGTAAGTGTCGATATATCTGTGTATGACAGTGTTTGTATGACTGTGTCAATATGACCGCGTATTTTTTTTTTCTGCAATAGAGGAGAACAGTGCACACACTAAAGAAAGGGGGAATACTCCTACCAAGGCGCCCGAGAGAGGGAGGGCAAGTTCCCCAAAATGTCCAGTGGAAACAAAATGGTTTAGAGCGTCACCTGATTGCCAGATTATTGCTACATTCCATGAAATGTTAGGGGTGAATTATACACAGTTAGACATTAAAAGAACACTTCAGGCACCATAACCACTACATTGTGCACCTCGCCCCAGTGTTTGTAGTCAAAACATATTAGAACACTTGACTTCTTACTTTTGGGCATTCAGTTGTGTCATTTAACCTTTTAATTTCTTAGAATGCAGCAATAATCTTGCTATATAGTATATCCCAAAATATCACCCCATGTAATCATCTACCCAATGTAGTTTTTAAAAAATCTTATTTTATTCCGTGCGCAGCCAATCACTAGTTACAAACAACAAACACAGTGCTGATTAGTGGGCTGTGGACACATTTGTACTCTCACTGATAAACACTCACACTAGAACGCACTCTCTTACAGACTTCTTTTGCTCCCCCTCCCCTCTCTATGACTTTACAAGGAATTGATAGGTGAAGTCAGCGTTACAAAAGCAAGCAAGCAGCAACTGAATCGCTCACAAAGAGCACAGTTCAGCTAAAATATTACCTTAACTCCTAGTTTGCCCGAAAGGGGGGGGAGAGGAGGACAGAGGTATTATTATTAGCATTTGTATCGCACCAACTTATTCCGCAAAGCTTCTCAATAGCATAAAGGGGGAAATTTAACAATAAATGAGACAATTTAAAAATGTTACATAAACAGTAGGTTTATGAGGAACCTGCACAAACAAGCTTACAATCTAGTATGGGTCTTGAGAGTACCCATTACAAATATTTATTTATAAAATATTTTACCAGGAAGGATACATTGAGATTTCTCTTCTTTTCAAGTATGTCCACAAACTCTGCAGAATAGGGTACAATAAAATGCAGAAAAGCTCTTAAACACAAGGCTGGAAAGATGAAGGGTGCGTCTGGATTCCAGCGGCAGCCAGTTTAGTTCTTTTAGCATGTCACAATGGTGGGTCATGTAATTACATTGTAGCACAAATCGGCAGAACAGGTTATAATGTTTTCAGTTTATTAATGTGGGATTGCGGTGCTAGTGCATATACTACATCCCCATAATCAATGAATGGCATCAGCATTTGCTGTACAATCTTTTCCTTTAATGTAGGGCTTAGGCAGGATTTGTTTCTGTACAGGGCACCTAGTTTTGGATAAAGTTTTGATGAGAGTTTTTCTATGTGTAGGCCAAAAGATAGATTGGGGAATAGCAGCATACAGGGCCGCCATGAGGGGGTGACAACCATAACGGTTGTCACGGGCCCGGGGGCCCGTCTGCCCGGGCCCCACGTGTAGCGGCGGATCTGCCGCCGGTGCAGTTGCACCGGGCCCGCACACTGATGGGTCTCATCGGGTGGCCTACGCACATAGGGCCGCCTGATGGGCCCCATATCTCCAGGGGCCTGGTCAGCGCTCTGGGCGTGGTATAGCGTGACCGGGCCCCTTTAAAAAAAAACACAGCAGCACAAGTGCTTCTGGGAGGAAGGGGTCACTTCCTGCCAGCTCACTCCGCGCGGGAGGAGCGCGCACCCGGCAATGATGAGGGAGAGCCAGCCAACTCCCAGTCCCATCAGCCCCAGCCAGCCACCCTCCTGCAAAGACAAGGTAAGAAACAGGAGGATGGCTGGAAAATGAGCTGTGTGTATATCTGTCTATCTGTATGCATGTCATTATGTATGTATGGATGTCAGTGTCTGTATGAATGTATGTCTGTATGTATGTATGTCTGTATGTATGTCTGTATGCATGTATGTCTAACTGTATGCATGTCATTATGTGTGTATGAATGTCACTGTATGTATGTCTGTCTGTATGAATGTATGTCTGTATGTCATGAATGTGTGTATGTATGGATGTCAGTGTCTGTATGAATGTATGTATGCCAGTATGTATGTATGTCTGTATGTATGTATGTATGTCTATCTGTATGCATGTCATTATGTGTATATGAATGTCAGTGTATGTATGTCTGCATGTCATTATGCCAGTATGAATGTCTGTCTGTATGTTGTTGTGAATGTGTCTGTGTCTGTATGTCCTTATGCATGTGTGTCTGTATGTATGTTAGTATGTGTCTGTCACCTTGTACGCCTGTGTGTCTGTATATGTGTGTATGTCTCAGTATATGTGCGTATCAGTATGTGTGTCTGTTAGTATGTATCAGTGTATGTGTGTGTATATCTGTGTCTTTTTGTATCAGTGAATGTGTTTGTGTCTGTGTGTGTATTCCTGTGGGTGGGATTTGGAGGCAGTCTCTGTTGGCGGTTTGGAGGCGGGCCCCCAGGGACCCAGACCCTGAGCTCAGTTAGGGGCCACCAAAATTTCTGGTGGCGGCCCTGGCAGCATAACTAAATATTTAAAAGAATGGACTGCAATCAGTGTGCTATTTGATTTTGTTTTGATGCATAAATGGGAATTTTGTAATTTAGGTACTGTTCCAAAGATCATTGTGACAGTTTTGTCAGTGTTTAGGAAGAGCTTGTTTTTTGCGTTCCACTTTTCTACCTCTTCGAACTTGTCTTGGAGCTCAGCCTCAAGCTGTGGTAGATTTGGTTTGCTTGCGTAGATTGCTGTGTCGTCTGCATACATTTGAGGGTTTGCAGACATTAGACAGATCATTTTTGAATAATGTAATTAGTAAGCGAACAGATGGGTTGAGGGCCCTGCTCAATGAGCTTACATGCTAGATGGAGGTGGTATAGTGACACAAAAGATAATGGTTGGGTAGAAAGGTAGGTTGCTAGGATAGTATCACTAACAGCTTGGTGTTTTGTTTTGATGACAGTTGCAGGAGCAGAATCAGGGTGCAGAGAGAGAAAGCTGTTCACAGCTTAATTGATTTGCTTTATTGAAGAAGTACTGTAAGTTTTCAAAGATTTTTTTAAAGAGATTGGGTGAGAGGCTATCAGAGAAGGGAAGGGCATTCCATAGGAATGGTGCAGCCTTAGAGAAGTCTTTAAGGTGAGCATCAGAAGTAGGATTACGAACAGAGGTTAGACATAGGTCTCCGGCAGAGCGTAGGGGCCTAGATGGGACATATTTGTATATTAGTGAGGATAAGTAGGTGGGAGCAGCATTGTGTAGAGATTTGTAAGCAAGTACCAGGATCTTAAATTGAGTCCTATATCTTAAGGGAAGCCAATGTAGGGACTGACATAGGGGGGAGTAGTGGGAGGTGCGGGCGGACAGCAAGATGAGCCTCACCACCGCATTCATTATAGACTGTAACTGGGGGAAGTTGGGAACATGCAAGACCACTGAGAAGAGGATTACAGTAGTCAAGGCGAGAGAGAACAGCGGCATGGACAAGCACCTTAGCCGTATCAGACTTTAAATATGAGCGGAGGCGTGCAATGTTTTTGAGATGGAGGCAGCAGGATTTTGCGATTGACTGGACATGAGGGGTGAAGGAGAGGTCGGAGTCAATACTTGAGTTTTTGCAGTAGAATGTTGTGGTTTACTGTGTCAAAGGAATTGGCAAAACCAAAACAATAGCTCCAGTTAAGTCTCCTTGTTCCATGCCAGTTTGGATGTCATTGCAAACTTTTAAGAGGGCAGTAGTAGTTGAGTGATTTGGGCGAAAGCCTGATTGATCAGGGGTCAGAAGTTTGATTGTTGGTAATACTCACATAGTTGTGTATGAACACATTTTTGCAAGATTTTTGACAATACTGGGAGCAATGATATTGGGCGATAGTTATAAACCAAAGTAATGTCACCACTTTTATGGATAGGCACTACTCTCGCAGTCTTCCAAAGTTTGGGTATATATTCAGACACCAAGGATTCGTTAATTAGAGTTGCGTAGGGTTTAGCAATTGCCGGCACACTGAGCTTCAACAGCATTGCTGGGATTTTATCTGGTCACTAATAAGCACTTTTTTATTTCTTTTTCTCAAAGGCAGTGAAAAGATCAATTTTCTGGATCCCACGGCCTTTATCTCATAGAAAGTTCCATTTCCATATATTAGCGAGAAAGTATTATGGCTCTAATAGATACACATATATTAATATCAGACTCATCACTGTCCTTTTGGGGATAGGACTTAAACAGAAAAACTGGGGATGGGAGTAAGTATGTATGCATTCATTTATTTCAATTGGGTTCCTGTCTATTTGTGGTAGGGAGAAGCAACTACCCATTGTTGTGCCGTCAGGAATTAAGTAGAAGTGTGTGTAAAGTATTTGCAGTTATTTTATGTGCATACTGCCACCTAGTGATCAGAGAAGATTACTTCACTGCCTCTGGTTCCAACGTTAATTTTTTTGGGCACAAACTGTTTAATTTTAATCTACAACAACATATTGATCAATCTGGGATTGAATAGGACTCCATAGATGCATCCCAGATCTCATTCCAGTGTTCCTATGTCCTTTTTATTTATTTTAAAAAATTTTTTTTAACCATGTTTGGGAGCCTCCATAGAGCAATGGAAGTAATAGAGACTAAGTGATATACAAAGGGTAATACACTATCAGGACAACATTAAATCCACTGACAGGTGAAGTGAATAATATTGATTATATTGGTACAACGGCACCTGTCAAGGGCTGGGATATATTAGGCAGCAAGTGAAGAATCAGTTCTCAAATTTCATGTGTTGGAAGATGGAAAAATGGGCAAGCGAAAAGATCCGAGTGACTTTGACAAAAGTCAAATAGTGATGGCTAGTGATGGGTCAGAGAATCTCCAAAACGACAAGCTTGTGGATGTTCGTGGTATACAATGGTTATTACCTACCAAAAGTGAATCAAGGAGAGACAACCAGTGAACCTGCATCAGGGTCATGGGCGCCCAAGGCACATTGATGCACGTGAGGAGTGAAGGCTAACATTTCTGTTCCGATCACATAAGAGCAACTGTAGCTGCTGTTGCTGGCTGGCTTCTGTGACTGGTGTTATGGTCTGCAGTGGCATTATCTATACACCCAAACTGCTTCATTAAGCTACAGTTATTTTGGTGACTATAGTATCCCTTTAAGAAAAAACATTTATTGTTTTTATATTTTTCAAGCAGTTGTTTAGTAGATGTGTCCCTAATGGCACCCTCAATTGAGATTGACATTTTAAGGATACCAAATTGGGGAGCTATCTAGTAAAATGTTGCAAACTGTTTTGTTCCCGAAATTCTTCAGAATTTTTTCCCGTTACAAATGAATTTCAAAAATTAAGAATTGGAACGAAACAAAACTAATAAAGACGAAAATAATAAATATTAAATAAAACATATTAATTTCTTAGACCTGGGCTGATACATAGTCCCAGCATAGTTATCAGTAGAAACTTCTTATGTTGTTACTTTATATAGATACCTTATGAGTACGTTTTGTTTTGGTGAGACAACTGATGTCCAGAGGAAGAGTCAACTATACGTATAGGAACTTATCTTTTATAACTGAAGTTCACTCAATGAATATTATACATGTTATTTGTTAACCAGATCTCTCCAGATTGACACTAGCAGGTCCATGGTTTACAGTGGTATTTACTTGAGAAGGCTGACAGAACATTGTATCACAGCGACCTCATGTGGTTTTTACCTTAGTAAATTTCATTCTAAAGGAAGATAAGAACTGAATGTGGTACCACAGCGACCTCATGTGGTCTATGCGATAAGCCAAATTCAACCGTGTTTGAAAAAAGCAATTATACTGCATTTTCTTGGCAGATTGGCAAATAATAAAGCACTCTCCATACCAGAGAGTATTTGTGTAGAGAATTCACTATTTTCTTATCTCAACTTTATAGTGGTAGTATATCTATAATACATAGGGAATTAAGCAATTATACTACTGATTGATACTTTTTATACACTGTTATTCTTTTAAATATATATATATATTTGTGGTCAGGGCAATATTGCCGTAATGGTTAGATAACATATAAATAAAAATAACATATGAGTAGTAATGTTACGGTACCCTCAGCATCAAATGCACAAACCGCTGTTTAGTGAATCCTCCCCTCTCGCAATACAGGCTGCATGCGTATCAAGTACAATCATACGAACTGCAAGCAGGGGAACGCTGTAAACTCATGAACGGGATCCGTACGGGCACTTCACTTCACGAGCTCCAAACTCACGAATCGCCAATAGTAGCCGAATGCATATATCTCCCAAGCGGCTAATAATTCCATCCGGCAGTCTCTAGTCGTCGGTAATAAATCCCCCCAATAACGAGACCAAGCTCCGCATTGAGGGTAAAACATGAACTGGCTTTACTGTGGGCTACCTGCCCGTATTTATGCAGGTCTCCCACTTGGTGGACACTCCCCTAGGGGACCAAATGGGAGACTGTAACAATAGACAGACATATGGCAGGTTAGGACCCACAGACACAGAATATTCCCAGCATGCATTAGTATTTCCTCCCCTCTGACCTGGAGATAATTGAGAAGTAATTCAATTATCTCCAGGACAGAGGCAAATCGCCATTTTAAATTCAACACCGAAAAACATATAAAAATATATAACTTTACATTTGTCGAATGTTACCCATTCGTATCACGTATCCCCAGATAGCCTGGATCTGAGTGCATATTATTGGCGAATAGCACTCAGATCCCATACACATAGTTCAATCGTCATGGAGTCAAAGTCTATTACAGTCTTTCGGTATGCGATTGACTCCATGGGAAGGCTATCTGGGGTAAGTCCATTAGTGCGTATAAAACTCCCGAACGGCCGGTGTTCGTATATTTCTGTCGATTGAGAAGGGAGGTTGGCGGCTTCAGCGGTGTTCAGCAGAAAAAGTGTCCGTTTTCAGTTCCATGAAATCCATGCCGAATACCGCTGGTCTTTCGCATGGTTTAAAATGGCCACCGTCTCGTGGTCGACATACGAACGACGACCACCCTGTATTTGGTTTTAATTGAGAAGTGTCTGCGGTTAGATGTAGTGAGTGTGGAACCGTGTAGCTCAAGCAGTGGTTGGTGAGGTAATTTTTGAAAAGTGCTAAAGTAAGTGTCTAAAACCAGAACTGGGCACCATTAGTTGTAAGCGGGGTATTATGTTATTATTATTATGTTATTATTTATATAGCACCAATAAATTCCGCTGCGTTTTATTTCAGTGGGTGGACGGACAAAAATGTAGTTGTAACCAGACAAGTTGGACACACAGGAACAGAGGGGTTGAGGGCCCTGCTCAATGAGCTTACATGCTAGAGGGAGTGGGGTAAAGTGACACAAAAGGTAAGGATAGTATTAGACTAGTGATAGTTGCAAGAGAGGAATCAGTCGGGAGCTATTAACAGTTTAATTGATATGCTTTTATGAAGAAGTGGGTTTTTAATGATTTTTTGAAGGAGTGGAGACTGGGTGAGCATCTAACGGAGGAGGGAAGCAAGTTCCACAGGAACGGTGCAGCCCTCGATTAGTCTTGAAGGCGTGCATCAGAGGTGGGAGTACGGACAGAAGATAGACGTAAGTCTTCAGCAGAGCGTAAGGGCCTAGACGGGAGGATAGATAGGTGGGAGCAGCATTATGTAGACACAACATTCAGACAAAGACATTACATTTAGTCAGGTAGTGTATGGGGAATGGTTGTTGCATGGGCCTCATGGCAATGAGAGCATACACTTAGCAGCTTGTATGAGCTAAACCCATGAGGGTGAGTCAATGTTATTCTGCATCCCTGGCCGTAGCCAGGAATAGGGCGCTATGTTTGTCGAGTTCGGCAGTGATTCATAGAGTATTCTGTGATCCGAGGGATGCAAGACTAACTGTGTACACTCTGCGAGATGGCTTACCAGACCTAGCAGGGGTGTTAGGTAGAGACAGTTCCACTGTAATTGTCAGGAACTGTATCCGTTTATTACTGGCCCTTTAAGACGGCATGAAAGTACACACCCCTTGGTTATTTAAACTCCAATCTCCAATACCTCAGTGCACAATTAATGTGTTAATTTGACTGATTGCATCAACTTGCTTGCTAATCATTTGGATCACTCCTAGAGAGACCGGACCCCTTCTGAATCTCCTCTTCATACACCTATATCTTTGATTACCTGGTGAACTAATTCGGACTGGCCTTGACTCTGCTTTTGAAATTTCCTTCAATACTGCTTAATCTCCTAATGAACGACCTCAGGCTGGATAAAGGACATTTCTTATGGACTAACCCTGTACACATCACCAGCTGAGCACCATGAGGGTGGCAGACACCATACCAGCTGGCTGAGCACCATGAGAGTGGCAGACACCATACCAGCTGGCTGAGCACCATGAGAGTGGCAGACACCATACCAGTTGGCTGAGTACCATGAGAGTGGTATACACCATACCAGCAGACTGAGCACCATGAGAGTGGTAGACCACATACCAGCTGGCCGAGCACCATGAGAGTGGTAGACCCCCATACCAGCTGGCCGAACACCGAACATGAGTGGTAGACATTCCAGCAGGGGTGCCAGAGGTCAGTCATGGCAGGTAGTGGACCCGGGGAGCTGCAGGTGATAGCAGCTGACGTGCCAGCTGTGTACCATGCTCGGCCCCGGCTTGGTGGGTACTTACCGCTGGTGTGTGGGGAGTCTCAGCTGCTGGTGACAGGAGCAACCGGGGTGCTGGGGTACACAGTGAGTTGGGAGGCACCCGAGCCACCGGTCCAGACGGCGTGCTGAGAGACACCCGTCAGGCAAACTCACTGTTTAGCGACAGACCTCGTGGAACAGACAGGCACCTGGCAGCAGCAGCAGGACCTCCGTAAAGCGATGGTACAGGTAAACCACATAGGAAGTGAAGTTCAGCCGTCGACAAACGTGAAGACAGCAAGCCAGGAGACCATGCCACGAAGATACAGGTAAGTTCAACTCACCAGACCAATAACGGTATGTGAGAGAGGATTGGAGGCCCTTATAAAGGGGACCCCAAACCCCTCCCACAACTACAGGCTCTGACTTAAATATATACTTTTAATACACTGTTATTCTTTTATTTGTCTGTTGATCTGTCTGTCCGTCTATCTATATATTAAAAGTTAAGTTTTAGCTATGCCACAAATTATTATGTACGTCTTTATTATAGAAACATAGAATGTGACAGCAAATAAGAACCATTCGGTCCATCTAATCTGCCCAATTTTCTAAATTCTTTCATTAGTCTCTGGCCTTATCTTATATCTAGGATAGGCTTTTTCCTATCCCACGCATGCTTAAACTAGGGATCGACCGATTATCGGTCTGGCCGATATTATCGTCCGATATTTGGTATTTTCGGCAATATCGGTATTGGCCAATTCAGATACCGATATTGCCGATAATATATAACAGGACCGCCGGGCTTGTAATGGGGTCCTGTGGGGGGCCAGCAGCAAGCGCTGACTTACCTTGCAAGCAGCTCCTGTAGCTCCCTCTGTAAATCTCGCGAGACCCATGGCCGGTTAGCATGGCAATGTTCCGCGTGGCACTAAGAGCCGCGAGATTTACACAGGGAGCTGGAGGAGCTGCTGGCAAGGTAAGTCAGCGCTTGCTGCTGGCCCCCCCAGTACTTAACAAGCCACTGGACCACCAGGGAATACTATATCCCCCCTCCCTGGTAAGAAGCAGGGAGGGGGGACTGAACAAAAAAAAAAAATTTAAATATTTAAAAAATGCCCCCCCATTTTACACAAATTACATCACTACACACACACACACACACACAAACACACACACACTGCATTATATACACACTACACATACACACTGCATTATATACACACACACTACACAAACACACACACTGCATTACATACACACACTACACAAACACACACACTGCATTACATACACACACTACACAAAGACACACACTGCATTACATACACACTACACACACTGCATTCACTATACACACTACACAAACACACACTGCATTCATTATATATACCCACTACACAAACACACACTCTGCATCCACTACACACACACACTACACAAACACACACAGCTCCCCTGTCTAAACACACTTCATCCACTACATGTGGCATGTATATTTTGTGCATTTACCTTTCAAATTAGTTTACTTTTTCAAAATAGTAAATGTACAGAATATCTGCAAGATATCGGCTATCGGCCTGAAAGTTCACAGATTATCGGTATCGGCTCTAAAAAATCACTATCGGTCGATCCCTAGCTTAAACTTCCTCACTGTGTTAACCTCTACGAGTTCAGCTGGAAGGCTATACGTCCACTACCCCTTTCTCTAAAGTAATACTTCCTAAGTATCATTTTAAAAAAAAATTTATTATATGGACGGCTGAAACCCCTCGGTTAAGTGGTAAACCAATTTTCTTTTTTAGAGTAATACAGAATACCCTATTCTGAAGCAAAAGCAATATTTTGTCTATTTATTAATGTTTATTAACATTTTGCTAAATCTTCCAGATCTCGTTAAAGGATGAATCACCATAACCATGTATAACCATTGCCCTTTTTTTGTCATTGAAAACAAAGCTTTGTTTAAAAAAAACCTGGCTCCTAACTTTTTTAGCTGACTCCTATATTCAAAGCAAATTTGTCATGCCCTGACATAGATACATTTTGTATATGAAGTGACTTGTTACATTTGTATGATTCCTATAGTATCTGTTTGTGTTAAGTAGATATTGCATGTTTATGCACTGTTACTTATTGATCTGTTTATGGTGCACAGTGCATATACGGTGCATCTCATTTATCTTTTACATGTTCACAATATTAGGACACAATATTAGGGACACAATAAAAAATTTGGTCTGTTTGGAGAAAGTGCAGTTTTAAGGGGGTTTGCAGCTTACTGTTTTTTATCCATATCATATTGAGCTCCTTGTTTTGTTACTTGTTTTTATTCTATCAGAGTATGAGAGAAGGCCGATTCTTTAAATGGATTTAAAGGAGCTCCCAACCTATGAAGTGTGAGAACACATCACATCTAGAATACTCTGTATCCAGAAGATTAGCCGCTGTGCTTGCAATCGTCATGCTTCCCAGGTATAAAACATGTGTATATGTATGTATGTATGTGTGTATATATATATATATATATATAGATATAGGTGTGTGTGTGTGTGTGTGTATATGTATGCATGTATGTGTGTGTTGTTTGTGTGGATAGAGAGAGAGATCTATATCGGCTTGCATATGTTCCATTTATCAAATTACCATTCATATGTAAGTCTTAAAGTTAAATAGTGAGTTTGACACTCTTTCAGGGTGACACAGTCTCAATCATAAAATATATTTTTCCTAAAAATAAAACATATCAGAATAATAAAATATAAACGATTACACCCTAATCCAAACCAAAAAGTTCCATGAAAATCTGTTTTGTCTACGGACATGATACTGAAAGTAATAAGGTAAGCACTTGATTAATATATGTTGTGTGAGGGGCAAATAAGGCCGTATAGGAATTAAAGGGAAAATGAGTCGGTTGAGGTGTGCCGGAACCGACGTCGTGGTAGGCCTGTAATAAAAGAGGGCCCACCCATGAGGTGTAATGAAAGGATAGGTAGAGGGAGTGGAGGGTGGGGACATGTGAGTCGCTAAAAAAAAACGTACGGGACGGAGGAAGGTGAGTAGGGGGGTTTAAGTAGGGAAACATGCCCCTCCCACAACTGCAGGCCAAGCCTTTACATTTGTGTGAGGGGCAAATAAGGCCGTATAGGAATTAAAGGGAAAATGAGTCGGTTGAGGTGTGCCGGAACTGACGTTGTGGTAGGCCTGTAATAAAAGAGGGCAAAAAATTGGATACCTGTCAGAAATGAAAAACAATCAACAAAACCTTATTGCCTAGCTATATTGTAAATGCCGAGCGAGTAAATAGTTGCCCAGCGCTTAACCGGCACTCTTCGTTATGCAAGGGGAAGTAAGGTATGGTAAACGTGTTGGCCCTCTAGGGTAGACTAAGTGTGGGGGTAGAGAAAGGTAAACAATAGACTGCATGAATAGGTGAGACTTCCTGAGATAATGCTACAAGAAGGACGTGGTGGCTGTGGGAAAGTATGTGAGACCCAAGAAACTGTGGAAGCAGGTATAGCGGCTCAACAACTAGATTATAGTTTAAGTGACTAGTTCCCACTAAGTACAAACGGTTGATCCAAAAGAAGGCGAAAAACCCAGTTTGAAGCGCTGCCAATTTGCAACAAGCTGGGAAAAAAATCCTTCTTGACCCCATAATGGCAGTCGGATTTCCTTGGATCAAGCAATTATTGCCCTACATTGAAAGTTGATGCCCGGTTCGTAGTGTCAGGCCTTTTATAGGTCTGATAGTGGTTGAGATACTTGGATGTTAATGTGAAATCTGTAAACTCGAAATTTCCCAGAACCTGAAAACGCCTTGAGTATGGTATGAGGATATGAAAACTGTGTATGAATGGTAAACCTGTACAACAGTGGAGTTGTAAACCGGATAGGTAGAGTTGATGCAAGTTAGAGGTGGCAAAAGAAGCAAAACCAAAATGCAGACAACACAGCAACAGATACAGTATCAGTATACGCGAAAAAGGAGCCTCAAAGGGGAAGAAGGCCCGAACACACGTACCGCGAGCATAGGAAAAGAGACAGATGTGAAAAGATGACGACCATGAGCTTGCTAGGCTTGCCAGACCCTCCCACAACTGCAGGCCAAGCCTTTACATTTAAATATTTGCATCAGAAATTGCATTAACCTAATGTGGGACCTTAGGCAGCAGTTTCATCCCCCAACCAAAAAGCTGTATTTATCACATTATCATCGACTTTATATTTTATCAAAAAAAAATCACTTTCTTTTATTTTTATTTGTATGTATGGAAGTCAGCAGTTGCAAAAATTTAATTATATTAATTTTTTTTTTCTACTCTCCATTCCAGTGATATTTGTACATCTTTACCAAGATTAAAAGGTGCAAGTATACTTCTGATAACTCTCATGATTAGTAAGTATCTCAGACTCATATGAACAAACTATTAATGAGATTTGTTTTATAGTCTATATATATTTTAATTCACTCTCCACGAGGGTAAATTCTAGGAAATTCCAAATAAATTGTCCTGCAACTCCTTTTTGCTCACCCACATTCTAGAAATTAGCGTTTTTTCATTCTGCAATTATAGATTTTTAATTTAGACATTTGCTGGTGATTTTGCCTTCATACTTCATTGAGTAAATTATCTATAACTGTGGTAAAAATGGTGCTCTAAGCACCATAACCACTACCGGTAAAGGAAGTGTTTTTACGGTGAAAAGAGATTATGGATGCCATCTCCTGCTTTCGGCCCGCCATCTCTCTAGCCACGCTGATGATGCAGAATTAAAAATATCCGTTGCATTCAACCTGGATTGCGAGGATTGGCTTAGATTGCTCGTGTCTGGTTTATGCAGTGCTTTCAGCCCATTTCATCCAGGTTGGATGGCATTGATATTGCTTATGCAGATGTTTTAATCAGAAGTTTAAATTCCACATTTTCTTTTTGCTGGAAAGGATGGTCTCTTGTTGCCAATGAGATATTTATTTATTACAAAAAATAAAAATCGCACCCAAATGGCATAATAGAGATACCATGTTCTCTTTAAATATTAAGATATTTCTAAAGGACAGTGCGGGCCACAAGTTGTATTCATCCTACTCTGATGTTAGATCGGGTAAGTGTAAAAGAATGCAGTAGAGCAGCGTCTTGCTATAGAATTGTTGTCTGAATAATGCAGTGTTAGAGGCATCTGGAGGATTAAGTCACGGCTATTGTTATAGTTACATTTTAAGTTTCTGTTTTTTATCTTGTTTCATTTTTAGAATTTCTCTTACCTTATCATACTTTGTAGAAAGATGCTGTGAACCATTGCAATCTAGTGATCTAATAGATGGTTTCCTAAATTTTTGCTGGGACCACCATTCAAGTGAGGGACAGTCTCCCAGCAGCAAAAGCCCTGCATTCTCTATCCACACGTTGTGAAACAGAGCTCAAAATGTGTTTTTAACTTTTCATGAGGATTACTCTTTAAAGTGAGAATTGTTATAGCTGAATTGCAGCTATGGCAACTATGCAGCAACTATTTTGGTACACAATTAAGATTCCTGGCAATTCTTACTTTAGTGAATAACCCAGAATGTGTTTAATTTAGAAATTCTCGTGATCTGTTAAGTTACTTAAGACTTGACGTGATACATTACATGTCCAATCTTGCCTTTTCAGGTCTTTCTGTGGCACATGAGATAATTGTCACTCAGGACTCTATTCATGCCACTGTTGGGCAATCCATCCTTCTCCAAACTGTCTATAAAATCTCACAAACCTTCTACAACTGGCCATCTCTTCAGTGGACATTTGGAAACAAGATTATTGTGTATTACTCTTTGCAAAATGGATCAATAGACCCTCAAGGAACGCCCTTATGGACTACCGGAAATACCCGAATATTCCCATTGTATAATCACCGTGTAACATTTTATCCTGACAATGGTTCATTATTACTGACAAATCTCCACCTTCAGGACAGTGGCTGTTATAAACTATATCTACTAAGTTTTGAATCAATAATTAATAAGACCATCTGTCTGCACGTAGATGATCCGTCTTTATCGTCTGGTACGTATAAATTAATGACTTCCAATGAGCTAGGTATCACTAATGCAGTGTTTCAGTTAATAACTTTTCTTTTCTTGTTCTTTTTCAATTCCTCTGTCTCTGTCATATCTTGCAATGAACATTACACTGCAGGAATCTAAGAGATAATTAAGTGTTCTTGCATAGCAAGACCACTTAATGTTATCTCACATATATGTTATTCTTATTATTGTGGCCAAATTTGCCACCCTAACTCCTCCCACAGTTTTTACACTACATAGACAGTAATATACCGAAACGTGTGGATTGTTCCCGATTGGTGTGCTATTACTTTGTGGATCATTTTGCCGAATGGTTCACAGAATATCGTTGTTTTTGTGGCGAAATTGGTCCCATAGGAATGAATGGCAAAATGTTCAAAACTAGAGTGGGAGCTGGCAAAAGCTGAAAAATCAGGACATGATTTTTAAACTGCCACCACTCCCTCATTTTCAAGCCCACCTACACAAATCTTATATCAAAACGTTCAGCTATCCCTGCTGCCACAAAACATGTCAACGGCTAAGCCATAGTCCTGATAGTTTTCACAATATGACCATTTGTTTGCAAATCACGCCGTCCATTGACATTCATTTGAAACTCCACTCTAGCCAGCTCAAACTTGAAGGGCAATTTCTAAACTGCGACTGTGCCTTCATTTTTCAGAGACATACTGTGCATCAAAATGTAGGCCTGGGTCTTGTGATTCTCACAATATAAAGCTCTTCGCTGTAGGATTTATAGTTTTTAAAATACGACCGTTTGAAGATGGCAACCGCCAGTTAAGTGAGCAATTTGGAGTAGTTTGTTTTTAACCGCTCTTCTCTGCCCTATTTGGAATATAATAGTTCCTGTTGGCAGTTGGTGGAATGTTCGAGGGATATGAAAGATTTGAAAGCTCTTCTCTGCCCTTGCTGTAGAGTGAGTGAACCACACTCCAACCACACAACAGTTACTCAAGCCACTCCGCCCAGTTACTCCGCCCACTCCAGTTGTACACTACTAGTGGAGGCAAGAACACTTCACACAATTTCCCCAGAAATTGTAGCTTTTCTAGTTATCTACAATTTTAACTTGAACCTCTGTTGAGTGAGGAACTCTGTCACAACAGCAAAAGCCCTCTGAGTCACCAGTGATTATAATGCTAGGAGTATACTGGTGCAATTTTCAGGAAATAAGGTAAACCACTTTGCAATGGGTCTCAAACCATGATCGTGCCGTAACTACAGCAGTCTAATGCGGTGCTACAGAAACCAGAAGCCGATCCTGCCACTCATTCTGTGACTGAGATATCTGCTGAGCACTTTCAGGCAATGAATGAGTGTGTGCAAATGAATAATAGCCAGCTTGTTATACCTCTAGCAAGTCACATAAGTATCTGTGCATTTGCAGTGTTTCAAACTGAAATGCTACATATACAGACACCAAGCACCATGACTACGTCAAAACACTGAAGTGGTCATGGTGCTTCGAGTAACCGTTTGAGCCAATTGTTTTGGTGCTTAGAATATCTCTTAAAAATTAGAACTTTCTCCCAGTAGACAGTCACTTTGAGTTGAGTCCACCACATGTGGAAGTAGTCACCTCTCAACCCACATTGTCTCCAACAAACCCAGTTCTGTTCGAATTGTACCCATCCTAAACAATTAAACACTAGGCATTTCTTCCTGTAAAGTGACACATATCCTTCCCTCTGCTTGCTGTATTCTTCCAAATAGCTCCCTCCTTAGTTTCATCTAAATCACATTCCTAATGATACATGTAGCTCAGTTCACCCAAGCTGTGGAGTTAGACTAAATATAGTTGTATATTAGGGACATCAACCCCTTTTGACAAGAACCCCTATCACAAAACTCTTAAATCACCAACACTTTTAACATACCTTCTATATGTCTCATCCTTCTTGTATCTTAAAACTCTTCCTCATTGACTTAAACCTCATTAAAGTATTTGCCCTCACCAGTGGTAAAGGAACACTATAGGGTCAGGAATACAAATGTGTATTCCTGATCCTAGAGTGTTAAAAACCATATTTAGGTCTCCAGCCCTCCCTTGCCCCCTTTAAATAGAGTGAAAACCCACCTTACTTTCAGTGTGGTTATCAGACACTGACCTCGCCCCAGATCCGCCTCCTTGGATGACATCAGAATTGACATTTCAGCCAATCCAATGCTTTCTCATAGGATAGAAAAGCATGCTCTCAGCCAAGGAGGCAGGATGGGGGCGGAGACAAACACTACCCTGGCCAATCAGTATCCCTTCATAGAGATGCATTGAATCAATGCATCTCTGTGAAGAATGTTTAGCATCTCCATGTAGAGCGAGGAGACGCCGAACGCCAGTGCTGCATGTTGACGTTCTGGCTCCTCCGAGGCAGAGTGTGAACATATGCGCCGCAAGTACATTAGGCCTTTTAATTTAAGTGATGCTGGAAGTCAGGCTCTCAAAATTCACCTAGCATGCAGGTAGCGCCTCTAATGGCTGTCCGGCAGCCACTGGAGGAATGCTTAGTCCTGCAGTGTAATCATGATTTATATTTCAGGACTAAGAGGGACAGGGGCATTGCACCCAGACCACGTCAATGAGCTGAAGTGTCCCTTTAATCCCTATTCTGTGTCTCATTTCTCTATGGCCGTTCCTCTGTAAAGTAGCAAAACCCACTTCTTTATACCAGTGATGGTACATATGTATAGAAACAGGGATACAGCTGTGTACTCTGTATATGTATGGAAACAGGGATAATGCTGTGTATTCTGTATATGTAGAGAAACAGGGATAACGTTGTCTACTCTGTATATGTAGAGGAACAGGGATAACGCTGTGTACTCTGTATATGTAGAGGAACAGGGATAATGCTGTGTACTCTATATATGTAGAGAAACAGGGATAATGCTGTGTACTCTGTATATGTAGAGAAACAGGGATGATGCAGTGTACTCTTTATATGTAAAGAAACAGGGATGATGCAGTGTCCTCTGTATATGTAGAGAAACAGGCATACAGCTGTTTCTGTTTCAGTTGATTTAGTGAAGACTTGATGTGATATATTACATGTCCAATCTTGCCTTTTCAGGTCGTTCTGTGGCAAATGATATTATTGTCACTCAGGACTCCGTTAATGCCACTGTTGGGCATTCCATCCTTCTCCAAACCTCTTACAAAATTTCACAAAACATGTACAACTGGCCATCTCTTCAGTGGACGTTTGGAAACAGAGTTATTGTGTATTACTCTTTGCAAAATGGTTCAATAGACCCTGAAGGAACGCCAGTATTAACTCGTGGAAAAATACAAATATTCCCATTGTATGAACACCGTGTAACGCTTTATCCTGACAATGGTTCGTTATTACTGATGAATCTCCACCTGCAGGACAGTGGCTGTTATAACATATATCTACTAAGTTTTGAATCGATAATTAATAAGACCATCTGTCTTCACTTAGACAATCCGTCTTTATTGTCTGGTACGTATAAATTAATATGACTTCCAAATAGCTGGGTATAACCAATATTTGATAAACAAGATGTTCAGTGGCACAAAGGCTTTAACCCCTTAAGGACACATGACATGTGTGACATGTCATGATTCCCTTTTATTCCAGAAGTTTGGTCCTTAATGGGTTAAAGGGAAAATGTTGTGTAAAAAAAAAAAAAACCTCTGTCCGGGTGGATTTGATTTACATCAAAGGAAGAGAATATTCTTTTTACACCAACAGAAGAAACCACTGCTGTTAAAAGTGAAATCATAACTTCAACAATTTCTGAATCCAAGTGCTTAAAGAGATACTATAGTGCCAAGAATACAAAGCTGTTAAAGGGTTAAAAACCCTTTATTTACTTACCTGATCCCAGCGTCGATGTCCCTCAGAGCCGGGTGGAAGCTCCCCCATCGTATGACAAGCGGGCTCGCATGCGCAGCAAATGCCACATGTGCATTAGATCTCCCCATAGAAAAGTGTTGAATTAATGCTTTCCTATGGAAATCTGACGCTGAAGGTCCTCATGCAGTGCGTGTGGACGTCCAGCGTCCTATACCAGACCAGAGTTTTGTTTCAAACCAGGAAGCCCTCTAGACAGCCACTATGGGCAGACCACTTCAATGAGCTGGTGTCACGTTCTTTAAAAAATCAACAGTGAACATTTGTTTCTTGAATGGTTCCACTTTTGCTCTGAAGTTTATTATAGTTGTCAGTAGAGATGGATGATTACTGGATACCAATGTCATGGCTAAATCATCTTCTTCAGCACTTAAAGCACATTAACCCCAGTTTATAAAAGTGCCGATTTTAATCCAACCAGCCCTCTGATTTAAATGCATTTTATTTACAATGCTTTAAAAAAAAAAAAAAAGTTAATGCAATAAAAATATTCTACATCAGAATTCTATAACTGCACATCTGAGAAAGGCAGACGGCAGAGAATCAGGAGTATTCGGTCTGATTTTATCATATCAACTCCTATCCATTTGCTATTAATGGAATAAGACATTTGTCCTCCAGCCACAGGTGCACTTATCACATAAGATGCTCAATAAACTGATTAGACATGCCCTGGTTGCTATCCGTTTACTTGCAGTCCGATACAGTTTTGTGATCCGTAATGTGTGAGGTTTTTTTCTTGCCATGACGATGCCATGACGATTTATCTTGCCCGGTACTCAAGATAACAGTGCATGATTTCAACATTTTGGCTCCTATAGAGAAAATGATGAAACCTAGACTGTTGGTGTGCTTCTGTCTGGTTCTGGAAATACTACTTTATGGTATACACTTTGCTATCAACATTTCCATTACAGAAATATGGGAGTAATGAAACTCTTTAAAACATGTATAGTGTCCTTTATCTTGCAATATTTCACAGAGGGTCCAAAATATTCGTATAAAAGCAAGCATACAATTTTCTCAGAAAAATAGATAAATAAAAATAGCCTGCTTATATGTATTTGTAAGGACCTTGATTGCTTTACTAGCAGTACAGATTACTGAAAATGCCAACAGAATGTAAAAAGAATGTCTGTATTTGAGCATAATGCCCAAATCTGGCAAGTAAAATATAATCATATACTTCTAAAATAAAGGTTTTTAGATAGCTTTATAGCAATCTCTATAATTCTAATGGAATGGTAAGATGCATATGATAGATACCAGCCAGCAGTTCCTGCTAGGAGCCAGCTGATTAGCTGAGATTATCAATTAATGAGTAAAGCCCTGCACTGCCAGACTTGGCTTAGAGCAGAGAGCTTCCTGGTGGCAGACCGTTTGATTATCTACATGGGGTGGGTGGAATGGCTCCTTGTAAATAAATGTATACTTCTACAAGCTGGTAATCATTCCTGGAGTGTAAATTAAGGGGAAATTGGCTTTATGACTTTACTACCATAATCATGTGTAAACGTGTACTTTTAGTAAAGGGAAAAGGAAGACCTCTAGAACATGGTGGTCATATTTCTAACACCTACAGTAATCTTTTATTGAATCGTGTTTTTGTGTAAAAGAAACAATCATATCTGGAATCCCGATCACTCACAGATTATTGTCAAGCAATGAACATAGTATATTTTATCGTTTAGAATTCTGATTCCTTTTTTTTCCCCCCACAGATAACAAGTCTACTTATTACAATGATTGCAAAGTAATTTCCGCAATATTCTGCTTCTTTTGTGGTTTGATAATCTTTTGGGTGTTCCTGTTCCGGCATTGCAGAAGTAAAGCTTGTCCTTCGCTGAGTGATAAAATCTATAAGAAGTGTTTTCACATTTTACGTCTTGACCTCCCTACGAATGACCTGGAAGCTGGTACTGAAGTTGAATTTATTGGACAAAAGACGGTCGGCTATGACAAAGCTGCAGCAACAAAGCCAGCCTTGACCGTTTTGTCTCTCTTACAGTTAAAGGAACACTCATATCCCCATAAGCAGTACAGTTTGCTGTAGTGACGATGGTGCCAGAAATACCCTTGCACCACAGCTTAATGTAGTTGTTCTGGTGCGTGTAACTTGCCACTGCAGGCATTTTCTTGTAACCCCTGCATTTACATTACTGCCTTGGGACACCTGTGGCAGTCACTCAGAGCTCCTAGAGGTGCTTCCTGGGTCAGTGCTGCACAACTGACATTCAGCATCTCCACGCTCTGAATTGAGGCACTGAACTTTCCTCATAGAGGTGCATTGATTCATTGCATCTCTGAGGAGATGCTGATTGGCCAGTGTGGTGTTTAGCTCCACCCCAGCCCCGTCGATAATCAGCATTGACGATCTCAGCCAATCCATTGCTTTCCCATATGAAAGCATTATGCAGGTGAATCTGGTTTTCTCTATAGAGCTAAGCAGAGTCATGCAGGACCAAGCTCAGTGCCCGAAAATAGCCCTACATAGGCTGAACTTTATTTTATAGAGAAAATCTGATGTTGTGAGCACACCTAGTGGGGCCAGGGCACTTCTGGTATCCTACACTGCAGTAGATATGGTGATCGGAGTGTTCAGATGAAAAAGTCAGATGATAAATAACATACAAGTTATCACATATAGCTAACTGGTGGTATTAATTCAAATCGTGAATATCCCTTTTGTTAACTCTGTCTGGTTTTGGAGTGATGAGCTAAGTAAATGAGGATGGGCAGTGAATGTGATATTCTCTATCCTCATCCATGCACAGTAAGATCCAGAGAAAAACCTATCTGACTGCTAGCTAGGAAGCTTGTAGCCAGGTTTAAGGAGCCGTGTTTTAAAGCACTAGAACATTTAGAACATTTAAAGATAGCATACAGCTTAATGTTTGCATAAAGGGATTAAGCAAAAATTCACGATAATGAATTTAATTAGAACAACCATCTCACCATTTGCGAATTTATGAGTGATATGTGATTCTGTCTGTCAGTCTCTCTCTCTTTCTTTCTTTCTTTAACTCTGTCTATTTTTATCAAAAAAAATCTTATTTTTCCTTTTCAAACCAAATAATGGGTTATGATCCAAATGATTTGCATGTCAAGCTGGGAATTCTGAGATAGTTGTGGAAACTTATCTAGCGAACATGATTTCTCTGCCCAAAGCTGATTTCCCATCTTGCAGGGGGTGCACTTCACCAAATTTTATATTTGCAGCAAATTGTGGGGGGGCTCTATTTAGTCTCACCACAAATTTCCAGGAACCATATCCAGACAAGGAACCATGTCATGATGGTGAGACATAAAGCTGTACATTATATGGTTGATTTCTGGTCACTGGTCCTTCTGGATCATAGTCCATGATTTGGTTTAAAAAATTGTGTTTAGAGCAGTGTACCATTGCTAAGGATGCAAGGTGTAGTCTGAAACACAATGCCTGTCTGTGCTTGTCTGGGCGTCGAGCTGTGGATTCTGGGAAAGTTGTGGAAACTTATTTAATTGGAATATGTATGCAGAAGGTGGACTTCACAAATTCCAAATTGAGGTATGCAGGTAATGCACAACAGTAACTGTTACATGTACGTATGTATGTTTATATAAGCCTTTTCACACTTCGAAGAACCTAAACAAATCATATATTTTAATAAACCAAAATGGCTAAATGTGAGAAATAATGAACTAATACAACTATATGTTGATACAGATTAATGTATGTTCGATCATATAAAATAGAAAGAAAAAATAAGAAAACAAAATAGTGTAATTCTGTGCGAGATTAACTAAACAGTGAAATTGGTATCAATTTGCAACTCCTATATATAGAGTCCAAAAACCTGGCTCTAGGATATAGGGCTGTTGGTGTCTTATTGAGAGGTTCCACCACACCTTCTGGATGGGCAACTTTTCTGGACAGTATCCTCAAAATAAAACACAAACAACCAGTAGAGTAGATGGTATTCTATTAGGACAGTATTTATTATCATCATTTATAAAGCATCAACAAATTCTGCACCACTGTGTAATAGGATATATATATATATATATATATATATATATATATATATGTGTGTGTGTGTGTGTGTTAAAATAACTCACTTACATGGACTAGAGGCTATATATACCGGCTTGGCATAAAAGGCAGTGTGCCAATTGGGATGTCACTTCCCAGGCAGTAGATTGTAGGCAACCAAATAAGTAAAAATAAGAAAAACTTTATTTACTTACAAAAAAAGGCATTGGTCTGTCTTTTTAATCTTTTGTTTTATCAACAAAAATATGTTTGTTTTACCCATTTGGCTGCCTACAGTTTACTCCTGAGTTTCTGCCTGGGAATTTGGGAAGTGCCATCCTAATACTGGATGTAATCAATCGGAGTGAGTTATATTACCACTCATATATGCAGTCCTAATAGAATACCATCTGCACTATTGACTGTTTGTGTTTTTCAGTAGAACAAAAACTTAGGTCCGGGCACACCTGGTGGTTTCTTCAATAGGCATTTTTTTTTATTGCAGAGTACAAAATATAGACAACGTTTCGGCTCCCCTGAGCCCTTGTATTTTTAATTTTTTTTTGAGGATACTATCCAAAAAAGCCACCCATCCAGAATGTTTGGAACCTAAATAAGAGACCAACAGCCCTATATCCTAGAGTCAGGCTTTTTAGCTCTATGTGAGCTGCAAATTGACACCAATATCATTTTTTTAGTGAACCTCTCTATTTTAAGTTATATGAACACATTGATGCACATACATTAAAGTGTATCAACACATGAGTTATTTATCACATTCCACCATTTTGGATTGGTTTATTTTTTGAGTATTTTATGTACTACATGTATTTGGTGTATATTAACCCCTTCACAACGCATGACGAAAATGTTCCGTCATGCATGTCCTACCGCCGTTTACTAAAGTTAACCCCAGATCACAGCTATTATGGGGTTAATGCTGCTCCAGTCTGCCAAGGCAGATGAGGAGCACCAGATAGCGCCGTCCCTGCAGTTGTGATCGCTCTGACAGCCTGTCTGAGTGAGCACTTGTGGCACAGGGACTCCTGACCCACCTCCCTGCACTTCCGTGTTCAGTGTGAAGTTCATGGAACGGATCAGTGCTGCTGATCTTTTCCCTGAAAAATAAAATTAATTAAAGTAAACACCCCCCTCTACCGGTCCTAATAAAAATGTACCCCTAGCCTGCCAGTTGATCACTATATAACCATGATTTATTTATTTATTTAACCCCATGAGGGTTAACTTTTTTTTTTTTTTTGGAAATCGTATTTTATTGGATTTTCCATGGGTATTACATTAATGTCATAACAGAATTACAATAGTAATACAATAGTAAGACAATTGGTGATACAATTTGTGATACAATTTGCGGTACAATTTGTGAAACAATTTTTGATACACTTTCTATTTCAAGTTCAGTTTCATCCGCATATTGATTGCCTGGGTTGCGTTTGTACGTGCCTTCATCTACATAGTTCGTGGGATAATATAAGCGCAGTGTAACATTATGCTATAGACATTTACCCACATTTCCTGCTCCCTCTGTACAAACAGGGGGGTTACGTTCATTGGTGTATTCACCTTATAAATAAGCTATCGTTAAGTTTCAGATCCATAGGTGAAGAACTTTTATTTTTTAACCATCAGGGGTTAAATTGATTTATTTTTTTCAAATATCTTTACATTACATGTTTAGCTAGCTGGGGTGGAAGTTTGTGGGGAATTTTGTATTAGGTTAGCTAGGGGTTAACCTTAAAAAAAAAAAAAGGTTTGAAACAAATGTTTTAATAACGTTTTGTTTTAAAGTTAAAAATACCCCCTCCCACCCTTACCCAGTCCTTATAAAAATAAACTTCTTCCCTGACAGTTGATCACTGTCTACAGTGATTAAAATACAGATCACCGTTTTTTACTGTGATCTGATTTTTATTTTGTATTTATTTTGTTTACCCTGAGGGGGTAAATTTCATTATTTAAAATATCTTTACATTATATATTTAGCTAGCTTGTGTGGGTGAAAGTTAGTGTGGAATTGGGGAATTTGGTGTTAGTCTATTTGGCGGTTAACAGTAAAAAGGTTTTAAAAAGTTTACAAAAGTAAAAAAAAAAACATTTAAAAAAGTTTTCATGTTTTAAAAAAGTAAAAACGTTTTAAAAGGTAAATAAAGTTTTAAAAAGTTTTTTTTTTAACTTTTAAAAAACCCATTCCTCATAAAAAATTTACTCCTTTCCTGCCAGTTGATCACTAGCTGGATGTTAACAGTTAAAAAGTTCTAAAAAGTAAAAAAAAAAAAAGTTTAAAAATGTAAATAAAGTTTTTGTTAAAAAAAGCTAATTAAAACTACACTTGGTACAAACGAGCAAAAAACTGATCCCACGCTAAGGTTCAAATATGCCTTTTGAAATATGCCTGCTAAAGTGCTCCAAAATGGAACACGGACCCATCAAAACCATCTATGAAAATTCACACTTAAAAACTTGTAATTGTCACGTTTCTTTTACAGCACTGTAACTTCACAAAATAGTGTCTAGGTCATACATTGGGCATATTGTTTTACTCAGAAGATGTAACTAAAGAGAATTTGGGGTATTTTATGGCAGTGGCACATATCAAGTGTAAGAAATACCCAGCAAAAATGCAACATGTATGTAAAAAAAAAAAAAAAAAAAGACATTTGTTTCCTCACCACAAACATTGACATAAATTGACATAAAAAATGGTGACAAGTTAACGCACAATATACCCCATATAAGATACCCTGGAGTGTCTGCTTTTTCAAATCGAAGCACTTTGCGTGGTTATTTGAACATTCAAACTGCTATAACGCCCCAGAATGAGACATAGGCCCATCAAATCCATCTATGAAAATTCTAACTATAGAAACTTAAATAGCCTTGTCTTTTATATGGCATTGTAGTTTCACAGAATAGTGACCAAGGCATACAATGGGGGTATTGTTGTACTCAGCAGATGTAGCCGAACACAATATGGGGTTTTGTACAGGAATAGGACACCCCAGCTTTACAAAATACACATT